TCTTAACAACTGTGAAACAAATGCATTACAAAGTAGGTCGTACTCGTTTTAAAGTGATAGAAAAACGGCATTGTTACGTGGCATAAATAATTCGCAAAAGTATTCCACTCTGGGCCGGTGCTCCTCCTTTATCCTTTCTACGCCATTATACACGTTGCTAGAGGACCTCAACTCCCCAATTTTCGTCCAAGTGTGTATAATCTGCTGTTTCCGTCGGAAACAATAAGGAAGTGAATTTTATTGCTCTCGTTTAGGAATTTCGATTCGACGAGGGAATAATCGGTCGATAGTTATCCGCGTGATAATTAATCATCGCTGGTTCGAGGAATTCTTTTAACCGTGGAACATCCTCGAAAAAATTAGCCGTCTCGCAATTCAGCCGGCTTGTTATCGCGTTCTTGAAGGTAAATCGAACGCGGTAATCTGTGCGAGTAAACGCGTATAATTCGAGGATGCTGTATTTGTTCAGTGGCTCCTCGGTTTTCATTTTAAATTATGAATTATATTTTACAATAAGCCTCTTGTCTTTCCGTTCCACTTTTCCACGAACGTGTATTCAACGTGATATACAGTCTGGCATAAATACGAGATAAGAGTGAACGGGAAAGAAAGACGAAAAGAAGGTCCGTGTACTCTTTTTTCCACCAGTGTCCACGTGATGCAACGGGTTTTCATACAACCGTTTTCCAACTTTTTCATTAGAAAGATTATTTAATCGTACACACGTGTGTACGTAGGTTTGTACAAAACTATGTTCGTAGTTTGTTCGTCGAAAGAGAAAATTTCAGGATATGATACACACACCGGCGTTAATACGATTTCTTCCATTTTCAATTTAAACCCCGTTTCACGGTTAATACGATCCTAACGAGAGGCAAATTAGCATGTAACTGCTCGTTCAATGCTTCGACACCGTTATTGCTATTAATTACATTCGCAATTACGCGGCGCTGGATAAGCGCCGGCAAGCAAGCAAGGGTCAATTATCTGAATTGTTTGTACGCAGAGCAAACCGCGAGCCATCAGAGTTATCCATTATTTTTACACGGTATCTCGTCTGAGAGATTTCAATCGTAAAACTGTCTGAAAAATTCCACCTTTCCTTCGTCGAATGATTCATGCCCAATTATTCATACTCATCAGGATCTTTGCCCGTCGGTGTACCAAATGTGACAACAGAATTCCTGGATCAATGCAGCAATCGTTGCGGAAGATCATTATACAATTTCATCAATACGATTTTGTACGATCGATTATACAAGGTGGAAGGATAAATTTGTAGTTTAAAAAATTCAACGTGAAAATTTCGAATAGAATGAATCATAAAAAATTTAAATAGCAACTTAACACAAAAAGTATGAATTTTGGTAGAACTTTGAAAGTTAAAAAGTTAGGTTGAAAGATTTAACTATAGAAAAATTGATCGCATATTTTACATGAATCCAAGAGTACTCAGATCCATTTCTAAAAATTATTAAAACGTCTTTAAAGAAGAATAATATACTGCTACTCGGTAAGCAAAAAATTGGAGCAATTACTGCCCGGAAACATTACCAAACTACTTAAATTCTTTTCTAATAATAACACAGTGTCCACACGATAAACTTCATCGTAGCACCGTGTGTACATATTTGCAACGTGAATTTAATGGAACCTCCTAAGTGGAGGCATTAGAGAGCGAAGGATAGTCTGGCCAATAAAAATAGCAACCATTCGATTTTTCGTTACGGACAAAGGTGGGGCTTATGTAACTTTCATTGTGCCAACGTCGATAACCAGGGCAGAAAGGCCTGTCCAGGATTTTCCATATTCAGGCTGGTGCTCGATTCCCTTGCGAGGAAGAGAAGAAAAAAAGAAAAAAACATGGCGTACGTGATCCACGAAACGTATGCTTGATCTTACGATGCTGGTTTTCTCCATTTAACGCGAAACGATTTACCACGGTTTCACGTAAACTACTCTCGATGATGCCATGCCGTCTTAATCATCGTCGACCTTCGGGAACACGATTACGGGAGATGGCCTGACGAGAAATTGGCGAGGACTCGCGTCGTCCCTGATGCACACAGTGAGGCAAATTGAACATCTCCAAACGAAATCTTGCCTCTTCGTGCATGGTTCGACCTTTTTCTCTTCTTTTTTTATACTTGAGGGCATGTGCTGGGGAAGATGAATGTGAAATTGGACGAATGGGGAGGAATTGATGGGTAGGAGAGACCGGTGCATAATTGGACAAATAGAAGTGTGGGATGTAATACTAATGGTCGACTTTTCGAATTTAGAAAATTAATTTGCGGACTCTTGAAATTTAAAAAATTAATTTGGGAGGTCTTCAGATTTCAAAAATTCAATTTGCCAACTCTTCAAATTTAATAAATTAATCTGCCACCTCTTCAAATCTAAAGAATTAAATTTGCCAACGCTTCAAGTTTAAGAAATTAATTTTGCCAACTCTTCAAACCTAAAGAATTAAATTTGCCAACTCTTCAAATTTAAAAAGTTCATCTGTCAACTCTTGAAATTTAGAGTACGCCAGTAAAAATTATTCTAAGAAAGAAACATGTTCTCCGCCATCGAGAGGAAAATTAAAAATACTCGAAGATACACAGAAAGAGACGAAACGCAGAGCTTTCAGATCCTATGAAATCGTATTTCATAAATTCGCGATTCCACTGTACTACTGTTGATTAAAGAATGATTTCCAGGCTGTGATTTCATTGTTTCGCGTTATAATTGCGAACTCCCGCGAATCACCATCGCGAGAAACGATACGCAGTACTTGTGCAACGCGATATCTTCAAACGTGTCTCTAAATCGATATCGTTCCTGCCATTCCATAAGGTGAATGTTGACTACACGTTGGATTGAATCATCTAATAGCACGTTTATAGTGAAACGACACAGGATCCGGCGAAACAACGACACCGCAATTAACAATGGGTAATCGTGTCAGGGTAGACGCGAATTTCTACTCAACTTAGAACGTCAAACGTTTTTCCCTTTCTCCGTTTCTCGAACCTTTCTAACAAGCAAGATCCTATTCGGTATTTTTAGCCTACTATTGAAAACGAAATTAGGTTTCGCAACGAAGTCGTAACTTTTGCTTTCTCTGTTTAATTAAGCATATTTTTTCGAAAAACAAATATTTCCAAATATTGACTACTATTGGGTTTTTTCGTTTTATTCCCCGATGAATGATATGTCAATAATGATTACGATCGCTATTAATTCTAATGACGCGATAAAAAATTCGAAAGCTGGTAATCTCCTTATTAATTCGGCCAAAGTTAGGTTTCTTCTCGATCAGAATTCTTCTTAGATAAAACATTTACCAAACAGTTAGCTCCAGAGAGGAGCAAATTAGATGCGACATTTAATCGTTGAGCGAAACGCAAGCAAGAGTATCAGAAAATTCGTAGATAACCGTATCAAGAGAAACGTGCTTCAAAAATAACATAAACGCAGTGCATTTGTTTTCTTATTCTTTTCAAGCACGTATACGCATACGCACGCTGTATATTTCGTTCGATAAGAGTTATCAATATCGGTAATTTATACGAGACGTAAGGTGTCATTTATGAAAGCAAAACGAAATTCCTAAATTACCCCGAAAACTTAGAGAAAGAACGAAAATCTTACACAAAAAAGAGAAATTTTCCATCGACAATAAGGCAGCAGCGAAATTATCACGGAAATGGATCGAGGCGCTCGAAAATTTGGATCGCGTTAATCGGTGATCTTGAATGAAGCTTGATCCCCACGATCTTAGGGAGTATTTGCAGATGACGAGATAAAGGAAACGTGTTTGTCGGGGAATTGGGACAAACGCGGCGCCAACGAGGCAGTAATACGAGTCTTGTAACACGTGAACCTTTATGCGACTCGATAATATCCAATCATTGGCTAATTCTCGTCTATCTTCGAAGTTCTTTCATGTGACTTTATCTGAAGTACATCGGTTCTATGACTCGTGATGTTGTGTAATTCTCTTTTATGTTAATATTGAGAACTTTGCGCCTGAAACGCAGCGTTATCGGGACATTTTTCTAGTTTTTTTATTTTTTCCTTAATTATGTCGATTGTCGACGATGATTTGGAGATTATTGAACGGAGGTAGTGACGAAATCGGGAATTTAAATTGGTACATCGTGAAAGTATTGTAATTAGTTCGTAGAATTCAAAAAATTTGAAATAAGATAAAAAAATTAGGAACGTTACGAGAATTTTTGAATTATTGGTGCATCGTGGAAGTGTTGTAATTGGTTCGCTGAGTTCAAGAAATTTGGAGTAGGATGAAAAAATTAGAAACATGAGAATTTTTTAATTTTTGAATATTTAGAGCTTTCGACAAACACTGTATCTCTGAATCTCGAGCTTCGAGAGGAATATGTTCAATTACCCAGCAATTAAACATCATGCTTTCGAATTGCTTCGAGCCATATATCACGAAAACGTCTGCGACAGCATGAACAGTCGGTTTTAATTTTCGAATTATTAACCTCTATCATTCGTACTTGTGTACTAGTACGGCTAATATACTTTAACTAGAGAACATCATTTTGATGAAACTTTGGTATATAATAGTTCTGAAAGAAATATTCGACCAACTTTTTATATCGCAAATCCTCCGCAGTGAAGAGATGAAAATCCGCCTTAAAGTTGAAGTTAGTAAATATATTTAATTTAATATCTCGAAAACTATTACAGCTAGAGAAATAGTGTAAATTGACAAATTTCCTATTTTCCAACGACAAATTTGAAAAAATTAAAAATAAGTAATTTTGACCAAATATGTTAATTAACCTAATTTTTATGGCCGATTTTCACCACTTCAACGTGGAAGATTGTTAAATATTTTCTCCAGTACTATCATCTTATCAAAGTTTCATGAAAATCGTTGATTAACACTTCAGCATGCTCCTTTGTATGCCGTGTAACACGAGAAACGAAGGATTTTTGTGTTGGTTAAATACGTAATGTGTACGTGTATCTCATTGCAGTTCACGGAGTGTCGAGTTACGATGTCACTGGCACTCAGCGACGATTGGAGAGCAACGAGGTGATTCATAAGGCTAATAACGACCACCAGCATCCGGGCGATTCGACAGCCGATGATCGTGAAGAGGAGCAGACCGTCTACGTAATCGAGTTCGAGTCCGAATCGAACGAGAAAGAATCGACTTTGCAGAGCAAGGGAAAAGAATCATCAAACGGTAAGCTGTCGTAATTAAAAATTCCTTTCTATCTTAATATTATCAATAGTGATACAAAAATTTCATTCTGTCTTGATGTTGTCAATAATAACACCTGCATTTACATGGAAATTTTATCTCGTTTACAAAATTACCTTATTTATTAATAATACTCTTTATAAGGAATATTTGAAAGAGTTATTCATTTAATCATTCGTTAAAATTCAGTCTAATCGCTAAACCAAAAAAGAACCTCCTACAGGAAATAATTAGATCGCGTATCTAAATAATTCATAAAAACGAAACGAAGCATCCTGATGGCTGAAAGAATAATTGAGAGAAGTAAAAAAAAAAAAAAAGAAAAAAAAATGTTATCTCGTTTCTTTTATTCTTCGAAATCTCCTAAGCGTGTAAAAATTCTCCGCTGATTTGATGAAATTAACGATTAAACGAGTTTCTAATTATCGTTAACAGTATACAAACGCACGATGCAATTCTAATTTCATTCGTAACTTCTTATCAGAGTCTCTCCTAACCCAACGACGCGTATTACTAACGCGTTAGTATTAATGATGGTAACGTGAAGGATCGTTGGCTCGCGTATAAACCGAGAAGAAGTATGTATGTGTCACGTATTCGACAGGAATCGCGATCATTTCGCTATCAGAATCGTTAATGTCACGCGCGAACGATCCGTTCGCCGATTCTGGACGCGTCTTTAACGCGGCGAAAACTTTCCATCGTCATTTTTATTCGATCTCCGTAACAGGATCTCCCAAGAATTGTCTCTGACCATTCGTGTCTATATTTGAGTTTTTTTGGGGGACTTTTTGCGAACTTATGTTGAATAATTCAAGATTGCAATAAAATAATTCAGACCAATTCGACACTCAAGCTTCAGATATAAAATACGTTTCATCTTTCTTTTTGGGTCCAAATTTGATTTTTTTTTTTAATTCTTTGCGATCTTATGTTGAATAATTAAAGATTGCGATAAAATAATTCAGACCGGTTCGGCACTCTGTGTTATTTTATTTATTTCAAGCACCAGACGTAAAATACGTTCCATCTTTCTCCTTAATTTCGAAACTGATGCTTAATGTACATGCAGTAATACAAACAGGTTACCAATCGCGAAAGTATGAAGGTAAAAGTGAATTATTTGCGAAATCAGCTTATTATGTCGCGTCCACTCTGGTTAAAGTTGCGAAACTGGAATTTTAAAATTGCAGTCTCGATGTGACTTCTTGTTCGATTACGTACATATCAAGTATACTGTAAAAAATATTTAGGGTAATGATGGATTTTGTATAGAAGAATTCAAAACTGTTCTTCTTCTTTTTTTTTTTTTTTTTTATTTTTCTTCGAAGA